AACATATATAAAGGCCAAGAGTTAACCGTGTTTTACGGTAGAGATTTTTTTGGAATGAACAATTGTAAATGTCAGTGTGTCACTTGTGAGAATAATGGCACTGGATTTTTCTTCAAAGGTAAAGAATAATATTAGTATAAAGTTGTTATAATAATATTATAATATTATCATTACAAAATGCTGTCTGGAAGAGTGTAATTTTTGTTTGAAAACATTATTATGACATTATAATTGTAGAATTATTTTAAATACATTGATTATGATTTGAATTGCAGAAAAAAGTATTGATGCTAAACTTAATTTGGAAGTAAATGATGATCAATCTACTGATGCTACTGCTAATGCTACTGATGTTAAAGAATTTCCCCCCACTGGCGGTAATAATAACCCTGGTTTTATACATTTAATCTTTTATGACTATCATGTTCATTTTTTTCCAATAATACTAGGCAACAATGATGGTGGTAATGATGATGATAGTGATGATTGTTCAACAAGCAGTACTCGTGATGAATTGTTCAACACAGATGGTAATACCAATAACACTGGTTTTATAATTTTAATGTTATATGACAATACATGACATTATAATTGTAGAATTATTTTAAATACATTGATTATGATTTGAATTGCAGAAAACAGTATTGATGCTAAATTTAATTTGGAAGTAAATGATGATCAATCTACTGATACTACTGCTAAAGCTACTGATGTTAAAGAATTTCCCCCCACTGGCGGTAATAATAACCCTGGTTTTATACATTTAATCTTTTATGACTATCATGTTCATTTTTTTCCAATAATACTAGGCAACAATGATGGTGGTAATGATGATGATAGTGATGATTGTTCAACAAGCAGTACTCGTGATGAATTGTTCAACACAGATGGTAATACCAATAACACTGGTTTTATAATTTTAATGTTATATGACAATACATGACATTATAATTGTAGAATTATTTTAAATACATTGATTATGATTTGAATTGCAGAAAACAGTATTGATGCTAAACTTAATTTGGAAGTAAATGATGATCAATCTACTGATGCTACTGCTAAAGCTACTGATGTTAAAGAATTTCCCCCCACTGGCGGTAATAATAACCCTGGTTTTATACATTTAATCTTTTATGACTATCATGTTCATTTTTTTCCAATAATACTAGGCAACAATGATGGTGGTAATGATGATGATAGTGATGATTGTTCAACAAGCAGTACTTGTGATGAATTGTTCAAAACGGATGGTAATACCAATAACACTGGTTTTATAATTTTAATGTTATATGACAATACAGACAGCAATTACAAAATGCTGTCTGGTAAAAACCATGTTAACTTTTTTCCAATAATACTAGGGCCAAATGAAGATGATGAGAATGATAGCGAAGAAGACAATGCTAATAATACCATTTCTACGGAAGACATCATAAATGAGGCTATGCATTTCATCCCAGTTCCCCACAATGATGATGATGATGATATAGACGTTGATAAATTGACTGAGATAAAAAGTAATGACAATGCTGGTTTTGTATATTTTATAATGTTATTTTGACAATATTGTTCTGATGTTTCAGTTACATCATACACATGCAACATTTGTGAGAAAAAATTTAAATTCTTATCATGGTATAAAAACCATATTGCAACACATAATAAAGTAGGACTCTTCACTTGCAATTATTGTCCGAGACATTTCAAAAGAAAGGATAACTTAAATAGACATTTTAGAACACATTTTGGTGGTGAAACCCATGATTGTGTGGTCTGTGGTGAACAATTTTCTTTCTCTTTTAATCTAAGACGACATATCCATGTTGAACACAATCCCAATTTCAAACGAATTGTATGTAGAAAATGTGGAAAAACGGTAGTAGATTCCAGGGCCTTAAGGTATCACGACAACCGCATGCATACTCTGCTAAAACCTTTTGTGTGCAACTGTGGTGCAGCATTTCATGCGCCTAATGATTTATACCGGCACAGTCGCAAAGAGGTAATATAAAGTACACAAATAACTGCGTCTGTCTTTAGCTTAAGAAAAAAAAAATATTTAATCAATTTTTTTAAATGTTATGTTTCAGGGTCATTAGCTCTTAGCAAGTTTTTGGAATTCCAATTAATTTAAAAGAATTATTAAAAAAAAAAAAATAAGAAATGTATGTACAAAATACATTGTATTAAATGTTAAGTTTTTCAAACACTATGTAGTATTAATAATAATATATTTGTTAATAATGAAATTGAGGTTCCGCCAGGAGCCAGAAATTAGTATTTTCTTTATAAATATTTAATAAATTGAATAAGTATTAAGTTTTTAATATTGTTTAACTAATTTATTTAATGAAAACAAATTAATATTGTAGTTTTTGTTTTACACATACAGTTCTCAATTAATTATGATATTCTGCATGACGTGCGGAATTTGTATTTTCTGTAACATACAAAATAAATTGTGTCAAATATAATCTGATAATAAACAAAAGTAAATTGAATTGTATTTGTGTATTATTTTCAGTGTTGGGATTTATCTAGATAATTATCTAGATGAAGATATTATTATAAAAGTTGTAATCCATCGCAATTGTTACCCTCCTAAATACATCCACAGGATAGCAGACTACCTACCCTTTCCAGGGATGTATCTTTCATGGCTGTAGGGGTTAAGTATGGTTCAAAAACTAGAATATCGATTTGATATGGCCATCTCACCGGCTCACTACTTAGCCTACATATTGGATCCAAGATTCCGTGGAAGTGGAATAAAGTTGGAAGAAAAACAAAATGAAGAAGCTATGGATTTTGTTTTAGCATACCACTCAGATATTTTGCCTGATATTCTTAAATATAAAGCAAATACACATCCATTCAAGGAATATATGTTTTCAGAAACTGCAGTTAGTGACAGTGTACATCCTTTAACTTGGTGGAAGTCTATTTGTAAGGATATTAATAGTGAAACAATGGAAGTAGTCAATCAACTTCATACTGCTGTGGCTTCAAGTGCTGGAGTTGAAAGAGTTTTTTCAACTTTTGGACTTGTTCACACAGACATCAGAAATAGATTAGGTAATGAAAAAGCAGCTAAATTAGTCACCATTTTTAAGTCTCTAAATTAAGAACTATTATTTGTTATAGTCACCATTTTTAAGTCTCTAAATTGAGAACAATTATTTGTTATTTAATATTAATATATAATTTTTTTTTATGCACTAGTCAGAGTAGTCAGACACTAGTATCTTGTATTTTAAAAAGTTAAAATGATTTATGTTTACCATTAAATACAATTGTTCTAATACTATTATAAAGTATAAAAGTTTTAACCAGTGGGCAGTGGCCCTAAATTATATTATGTTATTATGTTATATTATGTTATTATTTGCTATTTATAAAATAATGAATTTTTAATAAAAATTTCAATTTACATATTTATTATTTAATGAGTTTTTAACCCAAATTTTAAAATTAAGATTTAAAAAACATTTTAAAACATGTGTTTTAAAAAACATGTTAAAAACAGTTGTTTTAAACAATTGTTTAAAAACATTTGTATTTTAATAAATGCGTTTTAAAACAAAGTTTTAAACACGTGTTTAAAACAAATCAGTTTAAAACATCCAACCCTGCGCTGCGGTAATCGTCTCCTCAACGCTCACCAGTTAAAATGTTAAATTCCAACATATCACAAAGTAAACGACCCTTGCATTCCGGGGGTATGTAGAAACAGACCAGTACCGTATGTAATATATTAGTATACGCTAATGGTCTGTTTCTACATGTCCCCGGAATGCAAGGGTCGTTTACTTTGTGATATGTTGCAATTCAACACATTAATTCTGTAGTGCACGAGCCGCTGAGTAGTTTGCCGCTTTCAAATTTCAGGGGAAATTAATATATTGGGAGATTTTGGGCGGGGAAGTATAGCAGGCGCGGGGGAATCGGAATCCCATACTTATCTGCCGCACAGCCGTCCTAGAGACTTAGGATTTTTTTCAAAGCAATGATCTGATATGTTAGCCCCCCCCCCCAATGCAACCATACCATTTGCAGAGCTCTAAGTCCAAAATTCGAATTACATCGATATTTTTATACAGATGTACGTAAAAATTACGTAAAAATAAATTTAATCATGAAGTGAAATTTTACCCCTTGTGACCTACGTTTTTTATCAATTAATCTTATAGAACATGACCCGGGGAGCATTTTTGATTCTCGGGTAGGGTGTCGAGAAATCGATATTTACGGAGAAAACTTTTGATATTGTATAATACAGTTGCCGCATGATGACATACATTCGGACTCGCTGCGGTAATCGTCTCCTCATCGCTAACGAGTTCAAATGTTATCCCTAAAAACGTATTCACAGGATAGCAGACTACCTACCCTTTCCAGGGATGTATCTTTCATGGCTGTAGGGACGACGGTTTTTTGTTTACAAACTTTCCAAACTTACGATATATCATCCGGTTGCCGCATGATGCCATTACATAGTACTTGCTGCGGTAATCAATTCCTGGACACCGTAATTCTTAGATGTTAATTTTGAAACTTTTACACCTAATAGCTGACGAGTGTACCAATATATACATATGCTTTTTATGAAGGTGGTACAAAAATTGTAGTTTTGGTGACTGTTCAAAGTAGAAATACTGCAGAGTTGTAATGTGCTCAATACCCCCCCGTTCAGAACATATGTGTTTTTCATCATATCGCTTTTAGACGTTCGTAGTAAGTCGAGTTTTGGACTTAGAGCTCTGCAAATGGTATGGTTGTATCGGGGGGGTTATAAGCTATATGGTAATTGCATTGAAAAAAATCCCAAGTGTTTTACAAAGTTTCCAAACATACGATATATCATACGGTTGCCGCATGATGCCAATTATTCGGACTTGCTGCGGTAATCAGCTCCTCATCGCTAACCAGTTCAAATGTTATCCCTAGAAACTTATTCACAGGATAGCAGACTACCTACCCTTTCCGGGGATGTATCTTTCATGGCTGTAGGAACGACGGTTATTTGTTTACAAAGTTTCCAAACATACGATACATCATACGGTTGCCGCATGATGCCATTAAATAGTACTTGCGGTAATCAAGTCCTGGACACCGTAATTCCTAGATGTTAATTTTGAAACTCCATCTATTATCATAGTGTTCAATAGTATCATAATTTAAAAATTGTAACTAAATACAGAAAAAAAAGTATACTAATTTCAACAAAAACACATTACATTTGAATATAATATTTAATACTTGAAAAATAAGTAATTGAATTATATTATATATTATATAATATTAATTACATTTAAATGATATTATTAAGTACGGCAAAATTTAGAAACCTTTTTCTTTTTATGTAAAATAATCATTCGGTAGATGGCGTTCTACGTCTTATTGACTTCCAATGTTCATCATTAAGCGAACCACAATCATTTGATAGTTGCCCGACCTGTATATAAGACCGTGGGGTGACCGTAGACGATTGATACCATGGTAACAACTGATAGGAGGTATATTGATAATGTATATACTATATTAAAATATTTTTATGATAACAGTGTTATTGTTCTTATTAAATATTAAATTTTATTTTATAATGAATAATTATTGTAATGTTTGCATTAAAAAATTTAATAACCGATCGACATTTCTGTGCCATTTGGCAAGCAATCATCGCGGACCATTTCCTCTTGTCAATGTCACAAAAAATTTTGATGTACACACCTATACAAGTAATATATACATAATACATACCACATGTTACATGTACATTTCAATAATTTAACTATAAGCATTTTTTATAAAATACATTATGACAATAATTTTTACCTGTATTATAGTAAAGACTGTGGCAGTGGACCCACCAGAGTCAACTACAGTGAAAGTTCCTCAATCACCTGAAACAGAAGGTAATTCTCCTGTTTTTTTTGTTTATACATTTTACTTTTTATCGTGTGAATTTCTGTACTATTGTCAACTATATACCTATTGTACCCAACCATAAAAATGATAACATAAACACACAAACATGTAAAAACTTTAATCACCTTAACTCCTTAATAAAATTATGTAAATTGGACAGAGATTATTATTAAATTATAATGGATTTTTATATTCTAGAGACCATCAACAACTGTGATTTAGAGTTTACTCCAATTGACGTTAGCGATGGATTTTGCAAAGGAGACTCGGGTAGAACACAATCACAGTCTATATATACATGTCATTGTGAAGCTTCATTCAAACACAAGTCATGGTACCTGAAGCATCAGTTGACACACGGGGCAGGCACTTTTGAATGTGACAAATGTTCAAAAGTGTTCAAACGTAAAGATAATTTGAGAAGACATTTAACGAAACATTTTGGTGGCACAATATACAAATGCCAAAAATGTCCATCAACTTTTAATATGAAATTTAACTTATCATATCATATGAAAACCAAGCATGGGAATGTTTGTTTTTCATGCCCAAAATGTGACAAAAACTTTTGTGACAGTAGACAACTAAATTACCATGATAACAGAATCCACACCGGGTTAATGCCATTTGAATGTATTGTGTGCAATATGAGATTTCATGCACCAAATGACTTATACCGTCATCGCAAATTAAAGGTGATTATACAGTTCTATAAACACCAAATAATTATTATCTTAAACTTATTTATTTTTTTCAGAATCATTAATGGACATTGCATGTCAATAATTGATATATCTTTTGTTGTATGCCACGTTTGAGCAACAATAAGATTTAGTGTTTGAGGTGATGTTTGAAATAATTTATGTACTGATGAAAAATATTCCAAGTCCAAATGGCAGAAATAAAAAGACACAAAATGCAACAATAGCACACTGCATATTCTTCCTAGAGTTATCAGATAGAAACATAAATATAAAAGGCTTATAATTTATAAATATTTAAACACACAGTATGTTGAGTTACTAAAAAAATATTATAACTTATCCCGTCGTTATCCATCGCAATTATTACCCTCCTAAATGCATCCACAGGATAGCGGAGTACGTACCCTTTACAGGGACGTATTTTTTATAGCTGTAGGGGTTATGGTTAATCTAAAAAATCGTCATGACCGCAACTAGTATGCAGCCTTGCCGATACCGTTTACGTAAAATTCCGACCCCCGCACCTGCAGTTCACTTCCCCGCCCTAAACTACCTTAAATATTGGTTTGCACAGATCAGAAAAAATTTCTAAATTATCACAGCATCTAGTTCTATACGATGGAAAGGATAAACCACAAGATACCTTTGGCCGAAGTATGTGTGAAAATATACTTTGAGTCAGAG